TACTTCAGAAATTGAGAATTCTGGTGTGAAAAGCAGTCTTTCTCAGAGTAATCCACACGTAAGAAGTGCACTCTGCTACTATGGCCACCCAACTGGCCTGAAGATTCACCGGAAATTTGATCATGGCACATAGAAACCCGCCGTCTTTCTTCGATGTTCCCAAAAGGGAACGTTGGCCAGATCCGAGACCCAGATATACCTCATTTTCACCTGATTTCAGGAACCAGTTTATCTAGCGCATATTTCTTGTTTGTAACATCCGTAAACGTGGATATATAACTGATGGAGCCTTTTTGATGTTTTGATGGTAATTGGACCGTCTCCATGGTAACCATATTTGGTCATATATTTGTGATTCACTAGCATGCGGAATACAGCAATGCTGTGCGAGGCTGACATTTGCCAAAGTAAAGATTGCTAAACAGTCTCCAAAGGAATATACTTCTGAAGTAGGTTTTCTTTTGTGTAACAAGATTCACTTGAACAATATTCAGCAAAGTATGGATGCTTTATGGCGTTCTCCTGGACTTTCGATGATCTTTTCCTCCGCGCGGTTGCATTTTTGTCAGAAAATATCGCTTTAGCTGTAATGTGGTACGGCAGAGGGAAAGGTTTACAGTAGCAGAGTCCTTTCTGGAAAGGGACTCAAAAGTGATTGCAATGGAAGCTAATGACATTGTTGAGAACTCCAACACACTTCAGGACTTAGTCCTAGCGCCACCGATTACTGGCAATCTGAACGTAAGCGCTATAGGGGTAAGGCATCCTGCAGCTCAGGAACTCGAAAAAGAAGTAAGGGAGCACAGTTGCTCCTTCTCTGAGCACTGCAAATTCAGAACTGCATGGTGCTAATGATTCCGTGATTCTGATGCAGTGAATTTGCTGTGCCCAGGGAAAGAGCATGTGTGCTCACCACTTCTCGTTGATCTGAACGTGGACGATGAAATAGAGTAGTAATCAGATGATTCAACGGATGATAAGGGTTTCATCGAACTTGCAAGAGATATGGACCTAGACAACTACCACGTGACGAATGGAGAGGATGATGATGTCGGTGCCTTTCCTGTTGATAGTGAGTACGACCGCAAAAAAACGCCAACCCGCTGGAACAACGCTTTGGGTGAAATAGACTGGTGTTTACGAAAGGCGTCCTGAAATTGAACTGGACAAATCCCTTCACGATCACCATGAGATCACTACAGCATCACCCACGTGCCAAACGCGAGATATACACACCCTGTACATCTCTAAACACTATTGGACGAGTAAATACTGCGCGATACTCGCGATACAGACAAGGCCAACATTAGCTCGGAGACCGACAATCTTGAGAGATTCCTTGTAATTCTTTTTGTCTGGCTCCACATTCCTACAACTGATCTGAGAGTGCCAATTTTTAAAGCAGCGGTGAGCCCCAAGCCAATGTCCTACATCCAGGCTCATCCCGAGATCGCCGTCCTATTTTATTATAATGAGATCGCCGTCCTATTTTATTATAGCCGAGAAGCACCAGTGTCTTGCTGTTGATGTGCAATACAAGCGCGTTTGACAACAAGAATGTGGACAACACAATGTCGTTGTAAATGGTGCAGACAAACCACGATATGTTACTGTTCTCAGTGTGGAGTTCGACTGCATTTCGATCGAGGATCGAATGCCACGGTGTATACGAGACGCGAACGGTAGCAGCCGAAAACACTAAGAAACATTGCTGGACACTCTTTGACGACTATTACATATTTGTTTCTTCTCCATTACTGCTTGTTCATGTTTGCATTGCTCCACAAACACTCAGAAGACAATATAATCCATTATATCATATTGCATCTTCCCTTCATAAAAACCATGGTCATTTTGGTACGCGATCCGGCCAACGTTCCCTTTTGGGAACATATAAATATTTCCATAACGCATGGACATATTCAGTTCAAACTTATAAACATGCTTAATTGGTCCAATACAAGCCGAAACAAAAGAAAAAACTACAAGAATACGCTGAATTCTTGTGATGGCCAAATTAAGGTTAAAGGGGTAGTTAAGGCTAAAATCAAAATTTCACCAGTTGTAGTCTTCGGGGTGCTGAGCCAAATGGTCGTGGTCCGAGGAAGCTGAGATGCTCCCTTCCTACTTTAATCCCAATCGAACTCGCGCACTTCCACCGAAACTGGGTGATTGCGCCCTACTAGATGGAGATTTGTATGTAAAATGTCACTAAACGCCCCATTTCGTTCTTATAAAAGCACGGACGACCGCGATTGGCCCATATGTTGTACTCTTTTGGACGCGGAGTTGACTGGTTTTGGTCCGAAAAGGCTGTGATGCAGCGTTCCTCCTTTATTCCCAATCGAACATGGTTGAACAAGCGGTCAAGTGCTCCTGCGTACACCAGTCACCTGGTCACTGTGCCTGCAGGGTACCACTTACTAGCCTGTTTGACCTTTTTTGGGTGCAGTCCTGTCACTCGAGTTGAACATGAGTTGAACCTTGGTGTGAAAGTTGTCGCCTGCTGGCATGGTGACCTGGTGATTTGGGCACCCAGGAGCACGTGACCGCTTGTTCAACCATGTTCGATTGGGAATAAAGGAGGAACGCTGCATCGCAGCCTTTACGGACCAAAACCAGTCGACTCAGCGTCCAAAAGACTACAACATATGGGCCAATCGCGGTAATCCGTGCTTTTATAAGAACGAAATGGCGCTTTTAGTGACATTTTGCATACAAATCCCCATCTAGTAGGGCGCAGTCACCCAGTTTCGGTGGAAGTGCGCGAGTTCGATTAGGATTCAAGTAGGAAGGGAGCGTCTCAGCTTTCTTCGACCAAGACCATTCGACTCAGCACCCCGAAGACTACAACTGGTGAAATTTTGATTTTAGCCTTAACTTCCCCTTTAAGGGGGCAGCCTGGTCGTACAATCCCTGAAAATCGAAATTGTAAATTCATATCGAGTGCTACATCAGTTGAAAAAGCATGAACAGCTGCAAAGTCCCTAAAAGTTTTGTCTCGATTTGACCAGCGAGCAAAGCAAAGCGGGCAAAGCCCGCCGCCGCGAAGCCCGCCGCCGTGCAGCAGGACTTTTGCCCGCACCCTCGTGACGTTGCGGATATGTGGCTTGATTATTGTAGTTGACATTGATTTAGTGACTTTGGCAAGTTTGAGTCGTGTCAAGAAGTCAGGTAAAATTCACTACTAGGCAGTAGTGGAACGTGAGTGGTAGTCTTTGCCGATTTTGAGGGTATCCTGGATTTGGTTTGCAGCGCTGTGGAAATGGCTTGCTGTGGAGGTCCCAGCACTGGTTGTTCTATCAAAGATACGACCTCGTAGCACGCCCTAAAGCTAAGAAAATTCAAAAATTGACTTGGGTCTGTGGGAATCTATGAAAGAACACCCACTCGTACCGTTGTAACAGATTCCAGGGCCACGTTGAGGGGACCTATCCCACCACCCATGGCTGCTTCTGGACTGTTGTTAGGTTTGGATCCCGTGCACGGACAAAATGGGCAAGAAAATAAGAAAAAAATTGTAAATGCATTTTTTTAGCTCCTGGGTGGCTCGCACACCGTGGCACTATGCCGGAATTTTGAGTTTTCCCGGCCTGGAAAGCCTGTCAGTGAGGCGCAAGAGACACCAAAGTTACGGTCAATTGAATGCCGTATGAAATTTACGACCAGGCTGCTACCTTAATCCAGGTTTCACTGTAACACACATGTGAACACCAGTAAAACCACAGCAAACACCAGTCAAACCACAGCAAACACAAATAAAGCCACAGCCAACACCGGTAAAACCACAGCAAACACCAGTAAAACCATCGAAAACATTATCTACACGGTCGTCAACACCAGTAAAACTAAAGCAAAAAGCAGTGAAACCATCGCAAACTCCAGTAAAATGATTCCATACACCAGAAAACCATCGCAAAATCCAGTAAAACCATCGAAAACACCAGTAAAACCATCGAGAACACCAGTAAGACCATAGCAAAGACCAGTAAAACCATCGCAAAGACCAGCAAAACCATCGCATGTACCAGCAAAACCATCCCAAACACTAATAAAACCACTGGAAACACCAGTGAAACCAACGCAAACACCACTAACACCATTGTGAACACCAATGAAACAATCGCAAACACCAGGAAAACCATCGCAAATGCCAGTGAACCATCTCAAACACGGTAAAAGCCGTCGCAAACACCGATAACAACCTCACAAATACCAGTAACACCATCGCGACAACAAATGAAACCATCGCAAACGCCATCAAACCGTTGCAAACACGAGTAAAACCATCGTGAACACCCGTGATACCACCGCAAACGCCAATAAAACCCTCACAAACACCAGTAAAATCATCGCAAACACCAGGAAAGTCATCGCAAACACCGGTGAAAACCATCGCATACACCAGCAAAGCCATCGCAAACGCCAGTAAAACCGCTTGAAACACCAATAAAACCGCTGCAAACACCACTAAAACCGCTGCAAACACCAGTAGAACCATCACTTTTAGTTTATACACTTCTAGTTTATACAGACATCGCTGCACTGGGATGGCTGTGTGGCATGTGTGACTGGTATACGTATCGGTATGGGATTCCGTTTGGCATCGTGTTCGCCCACGTTCAATTAGGAGATGGGGACCAAACACTGTATCACAGCCTCCTTGGACGACGACCATTCGGTTCAGCGTTCATAATATTACAGGTTCTGGGAATTTCATGGTCAACCCTGCTTCTACATCTTAATTTTTCCACACAAATTCCTAACTAGTAGGGTGCAGTCACCCAGTTTTGAAGGCAGTGTGCGAATTTGGCAGGAACAGTGGAGGAAGGGAGCGTCTCATCTTCCTTGGACCAAGATCATTCGACCTAGCCCCCCAAAGACTGTAGCTCGAGAAAATGCCCCTTTCATTAACCACTGGCTAAGCTTAGTAAAACAATTCTCCCCGCCACAGCAACAACGCAAATCACACTACCACCACACAAGACAAGCAATCTCACCTGGCAATGTGATTCCACGATTCTGCAGGTTCAGCAGGTCACCTATGCATTGCGCATTGCGTACGGACGACAAGCGTAGCTCCAGTGCACACAGCACGTCGATCTCATCCCACATGCGACCGAGCGCCCACTCGTACGGCGCCTTTTTCACCATCAACATGGTCTTGCCTCCACCAGCGCACGAGAGCACCATCACACGGAACGTGTTCTTGTACATGCGCTGACGCTGTGACCTCTTGAGGGTGAGCAGTTGGGCAAGTCGTATCTTTCGTAGCTTCTTCGCACCGGGAGAGAATGAGTGCGCCAAGTCTTCCATGCCTGCTGACGTGCCCAGCCTATCAACGTCCTCCATCCTGGCATTCAGCTTCTGTTTGGGCACTATGTGCAAGTCAGCGAACACCTCCTCCAGGTCCAGAGTTCTTTCTTCGTTTCCTTTGCACGCCTCAAGAGGATACTGGAAATTCTTGTACACAGCACGAAGACGATCGCGGTATTTCTCCACCGCCTTGGGCAGCAAGCGCTTACCGGAGCGAGATGCCTCGTCCGGACCTATCCTGGGAGGCGGATCAACCGGCTCCATTCTCTCCTTCTTTTCCTTCTTGCGCTCTAGACTAGTGATAACAGGAGAGGCTGACTTCAGGATTTCTCCGCTCTCGATTCGGACCAGCCATGCAACCGGCACAAACGTTTATTGCAAGAACACCACTAGTCACTGTGCATGGTAAAGCTAACGAACAGCGCACTAGTGCCAGTAGTGGGTCAGTTGCGAACTGGCGTGGCGTCGGGGACGATTGCAGTTCACTAGTTGGCAGTTGGAGGAGTTTGAATGCTGGCACGCGAGTGCAGGCGATGGTGTGCACGGGCCGGCTGTGTGTAGCCTGTAATGTAGATTGTAGACCGAGTGTAGTGTTGTCTGTTGAGGAGACACACGTAGCTAGACACGATAATGCTGCAGTCGACTAGTCTGTGGTAGGTCTACACAGCTAATTTTCAAAATCACTGGCTGCGCTAGATACTCAGCGTCTGGCTGGCTACAGTCACACCAAGTGCCAAGGCCAGTCTGACAACCAGTGACGTCAGGCATGGTCGTCCTGTGAAGCATTGACTCTAGGCCTTTCACGTCACTGCGCCGCATATTGACATGTCCTGTCAATCGGGTGTCATATTTACATCACTGACTGCCCATAACGTGCGACGATCACGCCTTGGACACTTGGACAGGTCTATGGCCATATAGCCTAATATGGGTCTTGACGGAGACCAAGATCCAATGAGTGCTGCGCACAGCTGTATCCTTTGAGACATCTCTTGCAATGAACTTCCAACCGGCAATACACAAACAGACCCTGGCTAGTGGCTAAACAACGCGACTGGATTGCAACTGATTTTCCCCCAGGAGGGCAACATCCAAGATATACTCAAGCAGGGTGAAGTGATATTGTTCAAACTGTCACATTATCGCATTATTGTGCAAATTATCGACGTTATCGTTCCCATTATCGTTCGCATTATTATAATTATCGCTTTGATAAGACTCACGTCCGGCCGTCTCCAGCAAGAGTACATACAAGTAAGAGTTTAATTTTCCTGGTACCTTGAGTTGTGTTAACTGTTTAGAGAGCTCTCGACACGGTGTGGCTGCAGTGCCTTACATGAGCATAGCGAGATTCTGATAAAAGGCAAAGGAAAACCGCCTGGCAGTGACTTTGTGTTTACCGCACAAAACGACCATAAGCCAGCACAGGGCACAATAATCCGTGGATGGCGTCTTCATTCATTTTGTTTAGTCCAAAAGTAGAGTATTTTAAAGTGGGTGGGTTTTTATTTCGGTCTGACGGAACAACAGGACGCTGGAAAATACGAGCAACTGCACAACAGCAAGTAGTAGCAGTTACTTCGAACAAGCTCGTTTCGTTCCAAACAAAAGATAACGGAAACTCACCAGCGGAGACGCAGCAATTGAAGATACTGCCGCAAAGTGTGTACTCACATACATGTACATGTGACAAACTACAGAACAGAACAACAAGGACAATCAAGGCTTGTCTGCTGCTACTTCAAGTTTCATGCTCTCGCAATCATCAGGCAACATGAAAATTGGGCGCCGACCATGCCGGTATATACACGAAACTGGTGAGTGAGGGTAGCGTTTTTTTCAGCTCGTAGATTTTCGCCTTTTGGATAGCCCAGTCGGCATCAGGCCGGTCTGGAGGTACCGGTAGGGCCTAGCAGCGGTTGTAGTAGTCCAGTGTAATAGGTAGCAGTAGTAGTGTGGTGCCCGTAGTCGTAGTCCTAAATTTTTTTTTTAATGGGCGAGCTGACAGGCGAGCCGACAAAACTGCTCTGCTCTCTGCCTGGTATTGAGCAAAATGTGGTTAGCTTGCTTCAAACTTTGACAACTTTTGTCAGCGAGTCTAGAGACCGGGAGAGGTGCCTCCTACGGCGCTTAGATGAGCTCTCTGCACAAATCGTGGAGTTGAAGGCGGAGGTTCGTGTCTCCCTTGAAAAGAAGTCCGCCATTACCAGATTACAGCCGTGGATTCCTCCTCGGAGCTGCCCGGCAGTACCCATACTCTCAACAGCCAGCGTACACGCCGTACCCGTACCAAAGGCAAAGGCAACCATGCAAGCAAGCAGCAGCAGCAGGATCTGCAGGATCAGGAAACAACTGGAGCGCACGTGGAGGCCGTATCCCGTAGCGGCACTTTCGAAAAAGTGATCGAGGACAGTGGGCCCTCAGGCACGGAGTGCTCGGACGCAGATGACTTTCAGCAGCATGGAGGATGTCGATCCGGACACATGCCAGCCAAGCCTGTGCCCAACGCAACCTCTGCATTGGACTTGGAGGCCATCCAGGATGATTCTTGGCAGTTGGTGGCTCAAGAGCCTCACCGCAAGAAGCGAGTAGTTGTCTTTATCGGCAATCTTAGTGCGCAGTGCAATGACCAACGGCTAAGCGAGTTCATCACAACACGCTCCACCGCAGTACACCAGACAGTTGCAGTTCATGATTGCACTGTCCGTGAAAACAAGAAGGGAATGATGACAGGAAGAGTAACTGTTGATGCTGATGCCCTCCCCACAGTCACCTCTGTAAACTTTTGGCCTAGACCACTGTATGCGAGGGAGTGGACATTCCATGAAAAACGTCATGGGCCAGTGCCAGGAAAGGGAAATGGACAGTCTGTGCTGTCGAAGAAGTCAGGCAAGGACTCGGCCACTCACAGCTCCGACCTGACACCATTGCCTCCCGACCGCAAGCGGCGGCATGGGGATTCACCTGACTCCGGCAGCCCACTGCTCAAGAAACTGGACAAAGACCACCAGCAGCAAGAGTCTGCCGAGCAACAACAACTGAATGCAGACAGCCAGCAATCATGAAGCTCCTCCTGACCAATGCAGGCGGGCTGCTGTCCAAATTCGGAGAGTTTCAGCACACCCTGTTGCTCTCAGGTGTGGATGTTGCCATAGTGACTGAGACGAAACTAACAGTGGATAAATGCTCTCACAGTGCATCTATGATCCCGGGATACTGTGGCCCGATTCGCCGAGACCGAACAGAACACGGAGGTGGCATTGGAGTCTGGATCAAAGCCGGCATCGCGTACCAGCATCTGGATCAGTACCAGTCTGCTGAATTCGAAACAGCCTGGCTCACCGTTGGCCAGTGCAACAGCAAAACTGTCATAGGTGCAGCCTATCGCCTTGGTTCCTGCGCTGACAATGATCTGGCTCTACTCGAGCACTTAGACCAAAACATAGATACCATGCGGCAGCATGGTAAGCACATTATTCTGGCTGGAGATTTTAATGTTCACAGCACGTCCTGGCTTGGCAGCTCTCGAACGACAATCGCAGGGGAGTTCTTGGAAGAAATCAGTGCAACACACTGTCTTGTCCAGCACGTGACCCAGCCAACCCGTGGGCCAAACACATTGGATCTCGTCTTGTCCGACTTTCCTGGCACTGTCCACACAGCAGTATCATCTCCCATCCGGCGCTATGACCACTGTGTAGTATTGTCCAACTTTCAGGAAATCACTCCTGTACTGGAGCGGCCAACAAGCAGGAAAGTATGGCGTTATGGCCAAGCAGACTGGGGCAGACTGAGGGCACATTTCCGCAGCTTTGACTGGGCTGCTGTCGTCTGCAATGTCCCCGAACTTGCATGTGAACAACTCACAACTGTAATTCTGGATGGAATGGACACGTTTATACCATCTAAGACCCTGACAGTACGGACGACAGACCCTTGTTGGTGGACACCTGAGTGCAGCACTGTAGTTCAAGCAAAGACTCGTGCATGGAAACGGTGGCGTCAGCACCCCGATGATGGAGATTTGCGAGCTTCATTCATCGACCTAGTGGCCCGAACAGCTGCTATTTTGCTGCGCGCCCAATCATCATAATGATGCTCGTGTTAAAGCTAAGCTCAGCTCAGGCTCACTTAACGACAAGCAATGGTGGTCTAACATGAAGAGAGCTGCTGGGATGGAGCGTGCCTCTGAGATACCTCTGCTGAAGGACACCGACGGCACAGAGTATCCAACTCGCCAAGCCAAGGCCAATTGCCTCGCCAGGTACTACTCCCAGAAGTGTAGCCTTGCAGATGATGCTATCTCTCCAGACGATTTGCCAGAAATGCAGCATTTGGACCGCCATGGTCTTGACCGCATCCATTTCCGGCTTGCTGATGTACGCCGCCGTCTAGCCAAGCTGAATACATCGAAGGCAACAGGACCTGACAATATTCCAGCAAGAGTCCTAGCTCAGTGCTCCAGTGAGCTTGCAGAACCAGTCACCAAACTGTTCTCACTCTGCTTTCGCCACGGTGTTCAACCTACCAAATGGAAGCTGGCCCATGTGGTTCCAGTCTTCAAGAAGAGCCCCCGCTCGGATCCCAAGAATTACCGGCCAGTCTCACTACTATCCATCCTGTCAAAAGTAATGGAGAGAATAGTAAACAAGCAGCTCGTGAATTATCTGGAGCGTTTCAATATTCTGCCCGACAGTCAATATGGCTTTCGGCAAGGAAGAGGCACGTGCGACATCCTCACTGCTTTGCACACTGAGTGGGTCAAGACTGTCAGCGATGGAGGGTAGGCTCACATGGTGGCGGTGGACATAGCAGGAGCATTTGATCGGGTATCACATTCTGGACTGATTTTCAAAGCCAAGAACGTTGGCATTGGTGGCTGCCTGCTGCACTGGCTGCAGGATTACCTCCTGAACCGCAAACTATCAGTCCTGGTCCAAGGCGACTCATCCTCTCCGGCGCCCATAACAGCAGGTGTGCCCCAAGGCAGTATCCTTGGCCCGACACTTTTACTCTTGTATGTGTCTGACCTGGATCAGTGCCTGTCTCCCGAGACGCGACTAAGTTCCTTTGCAGACGACAAAACCCTCTACAGCCTCATCCGCACGCAGGACAATATGCATGACATGACTGCTGCCTTGCAATCCAGCCTCAAGCGTCTTGAAGAGTGGGGAGAACGCTGGCGCATCAGATTCGAGCCCTCTTAATCGCAACAGCTGCTGATGACTACGAAAGCCACACACCCTGCTGTCCCTGACATCAAGTTTGGAGGTATCGCGGTTCCGGAAGCCAACACCATCAAGCTTCTTGGAGTGACATTTGACGCCAAGCTGTCATTCCGGGATCACTTGCACTCAATTGCGACACGTGGCTGCCAGAGACT